GCACTGAATCCAGAGCCCGCAGGAGCCATTTCTCTTCTGACTATGGTACAGATTTCTCCCAGGATGAAGCCCAGAAGCTGTTGCAGGGAAGTGGTGGAGGCACTGCTGAGCCTGGAAGTCCACCCCCAGAAAAGCACAAGGACTATGTGGACCTTGGCTTACCTGAGAGCCCAGCTGATGAGAGAGAGTTGTTGCTCCAGGGAAGCAAGGAGAGTAACCAAGGAGGAGCTCAAGAGGAAAGTGGGGAAGGCAGGGTCAAGCCTCCCTTCAGTCGGCCGCACCGCAGCCCCAAGAGAATGGGGGTCCACCATCTGCATCGCAAGGACAGTCTGACGCAGGCCCAGGAGCAAGGCAACCTTCTCAGCTGAGGCAGGGGAAGCAGCAGCCACATGCCGTGGAGCTGGGGGAGATGCCTCCATCTGTCTTCTGAGGGAGAAACCTCTCTCAGTGCCCTCCACCCTAGGAGGAGCTCTGGGCTCTGCTCTTAAATGTTCTATTTATTCTCTTTCGCTACCTGGAAGAGCTGGGGTTCCCATTCCCTGGCACCTCAGACCTGCAGTACTAGCACATGTTGTGCAGAAGCACACCCACTGCCCTGGCACGCTCACAGCTCTCTTCACAGCCTCACACTGGTGCCTGTACCAGACCTTGTTCTTGGTACCCACAACCTGGTGCCTCTCCTCTCTGCGCTCCCATCCTCCCTTTCCCCTTCCCACTCAGGTACCTGAGGCCCCGGCTGCTCCCATACTGGTGCCTGCAGCTGCTCTGCTCCCTTTTAACTCGTGCCAACAGGGCAGGGTGCCTGGATGGTGGTGTCTGATTCCCTGGGAGCCCCCAAGGGCCATGAGGACTCTCCCAGGGGATGGATCTGGGCCCTGGGGTGTATGCCGAGGATGCTGGTTTCTTATTTTCCTGTTGGTTTTTTTCCCCTAGTCCCCTGGGTTGTGTTCTTCAGAATCTGCGCCTGTAGCTCCCCATTGCTCAGCTCAGCACCTGGCCTGCACTGAATCGAGATGCAGGCCGGGGCTGTGCTGTGACATTCAGCTGAGAGGCCTTGGGGAAGGAGGGAGGGGAAGGTCAGTTCCTTCCCAGGCAGGGCATTGCCCTCTGGGCCATGTGGTATGTTTGTGCGTCTCCTCCCTCACACCTCTTCCCCCGCTCTCTGTGCTGTTGTTTTGTTTGAATGGTGCTGACTCCTTGCTCTTGGGTGGGCTTCTTTCTTCTTTCCAAGCCTTTGGTTTTGGGGTGTACTGGTTTTTTGTTTTGTTTTTTTTTTTTGTTTGTTTTCCCCCACCCTGCATAAACAGACGCAGTGGTTGGCAGCCAGTCTGTTCCTTGCGTTAAGGGTGTGTTAGGGGTGGCTCAGCTCTGAGCTGCGCTTCCCTCTGATCCTGGCCTTCAGCCTGCAGAAATCCCTCCAAATTTGGAAAACGAGATCTTGCCCCCCGGGGGAGTGAGGCATGAAGGATGCTACTAGGATTTTCTGGGCAGGGCTTTGTGTACCATGGCCCGTGGGGATGTGAGGGAGCTGCTCCCTGTGGCTGCACTACCTCACGCCTCAGTAGCACCTGTCTGCCAGTCTCTTTGTGCCCCCCTCTGGGGGCTCCAGGCTGGCTCTGGTGCTTCCACTCCTGAGCAAGGGTCTCTCTGTGTGTTTTTCCTAGTGTAGTGTGTATTACGTGATTCTTCTTCACGGTCTTGTGTGCTCAGTGTCTTATTGGGGGGAGGGAAAGGGAGAGGTCTGTAGATGTAGGTATTTTTTTTTGAGGGCTAACAAAGCCTGGTGTCCAATTTTTAATTTTGTCCTGTGCTCTTGTCCATGTTTCATCCCCAGCCTAGGGGTGTGAGGTGAAGGTCCGGCCTGCTTCCTGGGCTGTGCTGCCCCCACACCAGCTGGCTGTCCTTAGCCTGCTGTCTGTTTTTTGAGTTGTGTTTGTGTTGTCTTCTTGCCCTACTCCATTAGTTCTGTACTGGCTGGCTGTGTTGGAGGAGAGCAGCTCACTGCCCAGGAGGGAGCTGACAGCAAGAGACGCAGCCAACAGCTGCCCCAGGGTCCTGCTCCCCTCCCAGACCCCTATCTCACCAGAGGGCTGCACTTGCAGCTGGAGGCAGCCAGGGCCCCAGCTCCAGCCTGGAGGCTCCAGGGCCTGTGAAAGGTAGTTGCAGGCCTCTGTGGGGCTTGGTGTGCTCTAGTTGGAGCTGCTGCCTATGTATTTACCTTCTGTCCCACCTCAAACAGCTGTGGAGTTCAATGCCGACCTCAAGGTAGAGGTGGGACTCAGTATTTTACTACAGTATTTCACTCAATTCCTGTGCAAACAGGCTGGTGCTGAGAGCAGAAGCTTCCTTTTAGCTTGCAGGGCATTATTTCTTATCCTGAAAGTTGTGATGGGATCCTTGCATTTGCTCTCCCCTGCCACTATGCTGCTGAATTTCTCCTGCTCTTCTGCAGCAGTACTGAGGGCTTTCACCTGCAGCAGCCACCATCCCGTGGCTCGTGGACATCACCTGGGGTTGGATGCTTATGGAATGGACTCCTGGGGCTCTCTGAACACCTGTGGTACGTGTGGGACAGCCTGTCAGAGAAGGCTGACTGATGTGGGTTAGCTCATCTGCCTCATTGCAGCTGGGAGGCACTGCCCTTCAGGGCTCATCTCTCCTGGTGTGCTGGTCAGGGGACAAAACCCATTCTCTTGCTGAAACTGAATGGTGCTGGGCAGAGCTGGGCTCCCCTGTGCTTTTGGTCTCAGTAAGCTAAAAGCACAATGGAGGAAAGAAGGGTGGGAAAGGAGTGCCCACAGCCTTCACATGCAGTTGTTTCATAGCATTAGGCCACTGGCAGGCTGTGAGGGGGAGCGGGCAGCTGAAGGAGGAGCAGAACCTCCTCCCAGCCAGCACAGTGCCTGTCCTCTGCTCTCCTCCAGCAGTGTTGGCTCTGGGGCCTTGAGCTGACCCAACTTTCAGTGTCCCAACTCCAGACTGTTAATCTGTAACTAATGTGTTCTGTTGTTGTTGTTTTGCTTTTTTTTTTTTTTCTGAAATTTTCAAACTGATGTATATTTTAAGACCAGAAATAAACTATTTTAAAAGTAGGAGGTGATGGCTGTAGCATTCTCACCTGGGTAGGGACCTGGGCCAGACCCATCAGAATGTGAGGTAGCAGAGCCTCTTATGGTACAGAGCCAATCTTGCTGAGCTGCATGTGCCTCTTGTAAGTTTTCCAGTAGTTGTGAATTCACAGGTCATCCTCTCTGCCTGTCTCAGTCTGTTTCAAGATGTTTGTACAGATCAAATTGTCTGCATCAGAGAACAGGTACAGTCCCAGGCAAGGGGGGGTACAGGAGATGAGTGGTGTTTTACTTCTATAATTGCATCAGAGCAGATGCTCTGGAAACTATTCTCTGGGTCTGAGTGAATATGGACAGCTCGAAGTTCAGAATGAGCCTGTTGGCCAGGATCCCTCTGTCTTCATGTCACTTTTGACTCTAAAGCTAACAGTGGGTTGTTTTTTTTTTTAAATTAAAAAACAGATTATTGAACCAGGCAACTTTGGGAAACATTAAAAAATAATGTAGGTAATTTTTCATGTTGTTTTGAAGGCTGTGAAAGTGAGATGTGGTCTGCCAAAACCTATGATGAGATCTGGTGCTATAACAAGGCCCAGTGTTACCCAGGAAAAGCTGCCTGCCACATTTCAATTATTTTGCTGGCTGTGCATCTGCCTGGTTTGTGTCTTCTTAGAGAAGTTCACATGTTCATCTGGATAAGATGAGGTATAGCAGTTTCTTCTTGTACTTAGCATTTTCCTTGAAACCCCAGCTCATGGAGCCACGTAAGACCCAGTTCACCATTTCAGAAACCAAGATAGGTTATCCTGGAGGAATTTTATAATTCTAGTGTATGAATGTTATCAGTTTTTGTTTTCTTTGTGTGGGGAAAGTGGTTTGGAGTTGACAGAAAATACTCAAACACGGAAGTCCTCTTTGTGTGAGAGTTTCTGTGGGTTACTGATACCAACACTTCCAAGAGTTTTGTTTTCATGAGCAACTGCGCTGCAGGGGGCTCTAATGAAATCTCCATCTCACATGTTACACAGGTGTCTGCCTTCTTGTAATACTCTCTTTCCTAAGCTCCATCTTCACGGCAACAGGGGGAGACCTGGGCACCTTCTGTTGTAGGTGGATGGAGTAACACAGGAAGCATCTTGTTTCCGTGACTCCATAATTAATGATTTTATTCTATGTTCCCTTGAGCAGCAGCTGCTGCCACAATTAAATCTTCCAACTTAATGCCAGTCATGAAACACAATCTTCTTCCTTACTACACTTCAGCAAGTGCAGGGGACGCATGGCTGCAAGCTGTCATACCAGCACTAGTTGGAGCCTTCACCACAGCCTGTACCCCGTAGACAGGCTCCAGCCCTCACTTCCAACAGAAATGAAGGCCTGGAGGAGAGTGAACAGGACTATGCTGGACCTCACTGCAAGACCAGGCAGGCATCTCCTCTAAGGGAGCTGTGCTCCCTTGCAACAAAGGGAAGGTGAAAGCTAGTATCCTTCACCCTTGCGGAACCACTTTCTTGCACCTGTGGTCCCAGATCTTGTGCTTCCAGAGGAGCTTGTGCATTCCATGAGGGGCTGTTGGAGCTTGTTTGACTTGTGAAGGAGTCTGCCAGCACCTCATACTTTTGTGCAGAAGCCCATGCCTGATAGCTAGCTTCAGCAGAAACTCACCCCTGGTGGCAGTGTGCCTCTTTGTCCCTTGTCCCTGTCCTGCGAGCTGTGAGTAGCATCTGCAGCAGGCTGGTTCTCACTGGGGCAGGGCAGCAGGGAGCTCGGGCTGCGCAGGGAGCAAAGAGCCCGGCCCTGGGCGGTGCTGCCACCTGCTGCTCGTGCTATGCCCCCTCCTGTACATGTGGAAAGCGAAATGCCCATTTTTAGCACTATTTCTGTCAGCGTAATTACCTCGATGTAGCGGGAGCAGAAGGACTGAGGCAGCTGTGAGCAGTGCCACATCTGTGACCTTTATAAAACTCTGATTGTGACAGCAGAACAAGCAATAGAAAGACCATCTCTTATACACATCTGAATAAATACAGCCTGCGTCCTGCAGGGTGCGGCCAGGCATGGGGAGAGGCAGGGCAGTGTGAGTAACACATGCAGCAACCAGACAATCACAAGCAGCCGACGGGGCGTGTGGCGACACGGATGTGTAGAGGTTCACTCAAACCAGGCTCCAGTACTCAGAGAGTCAAGGGAGCATCGACAGGACGTGAAATGCGTAAGGAGACCCCGGGTGCAGCTCACTGGAGGCAAGGAGCTGGTGGGTGTGTGCACCCCGGCGTGCCATGCGTGCAGCACTTTCCTTGGCAGAAGCAGGCAGAGTAGCCCAGCTACATCTCTGTTTCTGCTAAGAGGCTGTCACCGAGGCCTGACGTCATCAAGACCATCTGGGAGCTGGGATCTGTGGTGAAAAGGAGAAAACAGTGAGCTTTTGGGGCTGCGGGAGGACATGGAGCTGCTCTCCAGATCCAGAGTGAGGATGAAGGACTGCAGCCCTACAGGATGGAAGCAAAGTGCTGAGAGGATTCGGGGATTAAGTAGGAGCTAAGCTTGCCCAGGTCATGCAGCTAACGGGGCTGGGGTTGGTGGGGTGGTGGTCACTGTTGTAAGACACCTGGGCAGGGAGAAGGTAGGAAGGTAAAGACTGCTGCAAGAGACCAGGGTGAGCACCTGTATTTGTTGTGTCCCAGCAACCTGGGGTACTTGGCTGTCAGGAACATCTGTCTAAGCCCCCTGCACCTTCTTGACACATACAGTTACTGGTCTTGCTGACCCAGCTGTGTGTTTAGTCAGCTCTTCCCCTTTAAACCTGCATGTGATGAATGGAATCTTTTCAGCTCTAAAGCCAGCGTCCAAGCAGGGATGAGCTGGCAGGCAGCCACAGACTGAACCCACCTAGGGTGGTGGCACAGCCTCCCCAGGAAGTCAGCAGGCAAGCCAACGTTTTGTGGCAGCAGAGGTCTGGAAATCCTGATTTGCTGTGTTGCATGAACAGAGGGTTTGTGCAGCCCTCCTCAACCTGGCTCCAGGAAGGTGAGGACAGCTCTCTGGCCTTGCAGTGGTATGGAGCCCCAGCCAGGAGTTTGGCAACTCTTCCCAGGCCAAGTGACGCTGATGCAAAAGGATGGGCAATGCACACCAAGTCAGAAACCAATAGAGTACCAGTTTCTCATCCAAAATACTTCACAAACATCAAGAAAAACTGTTTTTCCTGGTTGTGTCGGGGGAGATGTTTAGTGCCTGCATGCTTTGGATCCAGATCCTACACATTCAAAATTGCTGTGGGGAATCTGTTACTAAAAACTGGGTCCCAAAAGTGGTCAGAGCTGCCAGCAAAGGAGATTTATGGCTCTAACAACTGAAGGACCAGATGTCCTGAGAGTGGTTGTGCTTGTCTGCTAATCCGCTAGTAGAATGGGGAGAAGGAAAAAAGAAAAAAATCTAACAAACCAACAGGATCATAATGCAGATATGATAACATACAATACTGTGTACACACACACAACAGCCTATCGGTGTTTCCTTCACATACCTATATTACAAGCCACTGCACAGACAGGCTGTGGTACCTGGCTAAACTCTCACAAGCTTAGGCCACAGGGACAGGATCCTGTGCCAGTTCTGGAAGCAGTGAGGAATGACATGAGTTTTGGCTAGGATATCTGGCAAAGACCCCTGAGATTTTAATGTTCCTGCCCTTGGATTTGAGACTGTGCACAAAGATTTTTATTCCTGCGGCATCAGTAAAAACGCCTTTGAGATGCTGTTCCTACTCTCTGCAGCAGCCGCACTGTCCTTGGAAGTTCCTTTTCCAAGCACGGCTCAGCCCAACACTATTAAACGTGAAGGTCATAGATGGAGGCTGTCTGGATTCCAGCTCACAGGGGTAAGGGACAGATACCACTAACCAATCCCATTCTGAGAGATAAGTGGCACTAGGAAATACCCTAGGCACACCTATTCCTTTCTGCCAACCCCACCATGCCAGGCCCCAGAGCTCTTACTGTTCTGGCAGATCCAGGGGTTCTTCTCCCTGGCTGTGACTTCACGAGCTTCTGTTTCCTCTTCTTCCTCACCCTCTGAGAGCAGGTCAGAGATCTGCTGCTGCAGCTCAGGACTGATGTTGTTCTCTGACAGGATGAGTGTCCGTAGGGCCGTGGGGTAATTCTCTACCATGTCTAGCAAGGTCTGAGCAGAGAGAGATAAGCAGGCTGACAAGAAGCATAAACAGCAGCTAGGTTCAATAGCAAGAGTTTCAGCACCATCTCCCTGCAAACTCCAGCCCTCCTCTTTCTACCTCCATCGTCCCTTGGCTTTGACCTCCCTTTGCCAGACTTTCTAAGAGCCTGAGGACTTCCCATATTCCTGTGGGAAGAGCTGAGCCTAGACTTTCTTGCTCTGTCCAAAGAGAAGGGGATTGCTCTACACCCTCCACATACCCAGCTCCCACATACCCAGCTAAATCCCATCTCTCAGGGGAAAGCCTATGCTACCATGCCTTGCCCCCATCTGTACACAGTGCTTTAGCTCTGATCCTCCACAACAAATTCACCAAATAGAGCTGTGTGACTTTTCCCTGCTGACTTGAAGGAGGCAAAAGAGCCCCAGGGCTGAAGCTGTGGCTTCTGAGCTCCTCCTGTGGCTGAATGCAACAGGACAGGAAAGCAGCAGCAACATTTCTAGGTGGAAGCGAAGAAGGTATTCTGCCCCTATATAGATGGTCAGGACCTATTTCCTTTAGACTGCAATGATGATGTAAGAGTAACAGGTTTCCTTGCCTGGGCTGATTGGTTGGTGAGTCCTGTTCCCTCCAAATCCAAAACTTCAAGGGTTCGACTGGAGGCCACAGCAACAGCAAGCATCCCGGCTACCTGGTCACCTATAGAAGCAAACCAGGGCTGTGAGCAGTGCCTGCCTTCACTCATATACAAGCCCTGCTCTTGTGAGGCTGTCATGGAAACACCCTCTGCAGATTTCTGCCATTGGACAACTTCTAAGTCTTGGCTACCTCAGGAAAAAAAAGTTGTTAACTGAGGGAAATTTATTTTATACCCCAAGAAACTGCATCTACCCACATCTCCTTCCTACTCAAGGCTGCGAGGACCTTTCACCTTCCCTGAAAAGGATCTCGGACTCCCAATAAGGACCTGAAATAGCCTAAGGGAAAGTTAGAGTGTGGCTGAGGCCTGTGCCAGCTAATAGGCTGTCACGTTGGAAAGGGGGGGAGACTTCTGGGGTGGTGCAGCAGAATTGGGAGCATTAGAGATCAATGCCAGTGAAGGAAAGAGACACCAGGGTGTTCTCTTGGAATTTCCTGGGGACACAGGACTGTGACGCATCCTCTCCTGAGGAAAACCAGGCTGACACAAGGTAACACCCTGGGGTCTTTGCTGTTCTGGAGGATGACCTGGTCTGACAGGGTCTGGTGAGGTGGGAAGTGCCCAGCCCATGCCTGGGTTAGGGATGCATGGCCTGTTCTCCTCCTCACCACCTCACAGTAGAGCTGGAGAGAGTTGGTTTCTATGGCAACCCATGCCAGGCTCTCCTCCTTCCCCCTGCTCCATGGAAAAGAGAAGGGAGGAGCAAGGGGGGCTTTTAGGGCCTCTGCCATGCTGATGTTGGGCCCTGGTACAAGGACTTCAGGTACAGGGAAGAAGTGAAAGGTCAAACATGATGACATGCAGGCAGGCCACTACCTCCTTTCCGCGCCTTCAGCAGGTCTCATGGCCACATTACACTGGACAGCAGGGCTGGCTTCCTTACTGCTGTGGGCACCCATCAGGGTGAGGTCTCTGCTGGGGGCCAGGCAAGACAGTGCAACAAGCTGCCCTGTCCTGCTGGTGACACTCTGCTGCCCATCAACAGCTGGGTTCCCAGCCACCCACCAAAGCAAATAGCACAAACACAGACAGGTGGGAGCATAGTTTCCCTTGGTCCCCAGCTTACCCAGGGGGTTGTAGTCCAAGTTCAGCACTCGGAGCTGGGAGCTGTGAGCCACAGCAATGGCCAGGCGGCCCCAGCCTTTGCTCGTGACACCTGGGTTGGCACTCAGTGTCAGCTCCTTGAGGCCTGGAGAGGAGAGAGAAGCCAAACCAGAGTCTGAGGGTCACCAGAGCAGTCAGAATGAAATGAGTTCAGCTAACCAGGAGATGTGTCTCCTGTACTCCAACAGACTAAAGAGTTTGGAGTAGGTGGCATGAGGTGATAGGTCAGCGAGGATCACAGGGACAGCCTAAACCCAGGAGTGGTGACAAACTGAGATAATAGAATCAGTGGCACTGTGAACATGGGCAGGCAGAAGTCTGTGGAAAAGACTCTGAATGCCAGGGAGAGAGGTAGTTTTACCCGGTATATGATAGTTCCCCTTTTAAGTGGGGCCTCAGAGCTCTAAAGATCATCCTCTGTAAAGATCTGAGCCTTAGCACTGAGGCTCTGACCATCTACACACTCCATGTGTGCACCCATCTGCAGGGATAATTTCTGGGTGCTGACAGTAAAGCCAAGAGTGGGGTGAGAAGCACACCATGTATTTATCTGTGGTGATTATCGACAGGCTAGTGCAAAATAATAAATGAAAAATCCAAATTGTTCCCTCCTCCAGTATCAAGCGCTCCTGTCATGAACCAGAAGCAACCTGTTAGTCCCTGAGCAACAAGCTGCCTGCAGGACAAATGATAGCAGAAAGCCCATGGGAACTGCTCTTCTATCACTTGGTTTTTCTGCTTTACATGAGTTGGGAAAATAAGTCCCTCAGCCCAAGTTACAGAGCCTGCCTCTCCCAGGGCTGAGGATTTTGGCTGTGTCCATTTGCTCTATGTAAAGCTCCATTGGCTTCCATGCAGCCCACAGCCCTCGTGCTTACCAGACTTAGCCCCGTCAGGTGGCAGGAGTCCACAGATGAGGTTGATGCCTTCATCACCCAGCATGCAGTCTCCCAGGTCCAGAGCCACCAGCGAGGGGTGGATGGAGAGCGCAGGGTTGAGGAGAGCCAAGCCTGCATCCGTCAGGGGACTCCCATGGAGACTGCAGAGGTAAAAGGGAAATCACCATGGAGGAAGCCCAGGAGCAAGCTAACCCGAGGAGGAGGGAGAAGTAGAGGAGGATGATTCTAATGTCAGATGGGGAAAATGTGCTAGGAAGGCCCTGCAGAGGGGCTCAGCCGGCAGCTGCAGAGGCACTCCTCTCCCAGCAGGGATGAAGGGCAGTGGAGGACGCTGGCAGTGCTCAGGGAGGTCCTTCCCAGCACCAGGGCCACCCAGGTTTGGGGAGACAAACGAAACCACGCCAACCAGATGAGAGCAGAATTAGGTCCCCAGGCCCAGTGAAGGGCAATGGATTGGCGTCTGCAGCATCAAGGACGTTGCTCCTCGCGCCGGGGCTGGCCGGGAGCCTCTGTCCCCATCAGGCTGGGCAGACCCTGCCGGGCACCCGCCGCTTCCCCGCTACTCACAAGAGGGACTGGACGGAGCGGTTGGTCTTCAGGGCCTCGGCCAGCTGCTTGACGCGGTTGATGTTGGAGACGATGCCCAGGTTGAGGTTGAGCTGCGCCAGGGAGCGGGACTCGGCCACCCCCCGGCAGACGTGCCCGAAGTCGCGCTCCGAGAGCTGGCAGCCGCGCAGCGACAGCAGCCGCACCGAGTTCTCCCGCAGGCTCTCGCAGATGTCCCGGATCTCCGCGCCCGACAGCGTCTCCCCGGAGATCTGGATGGACCCCGGCAGCATCTTCCGCCCGCTCGGGGAGCCGCAGCCCGCCTAGCCCGCGGCGCCGAGAGGGAGCCGCGCTGCGCGCTGCGGGCCGGGGCGAGCGCCAACGCCGCCGCCACCGGGCGCTGCCGGCCCGGCCCACCGCGGCCCCGGGGGCGTCACCGCGCAGCCTTACCGGCGGCCGCCGGGCCGCCCCGCTCCCCGCAGCGGGCGGCGGGGCCCGAGGGAGCCATCGGCGTGGGCTGATCCGGAGCGGGGCCGGAGAGAGAACGCGCCGTGCCGACCCGCCGCTCCAGCCGGGGCCGGCAGTAGCTCCCGCCCCGCCCGCACCTGCGGGGCCGCTCCGCCCCCTCCCTCCTCCCGCCCCACGCAGAGCGGCCCGTCCCGCCCCACCGTTACGCCGCCATTTTGTGCCCCGCCGCCACTCGAGGCACGCGACGAGCGTCTGCCGTCCTCTGGTACTGAGAAGAGGGGGTGCGGGCGAAGTCCCCGAGAATGGGCCGAAGTCGCTGGGCTATGGTGTGCCCCGGGCTGGGCAGTAACCGTCCGTTGGCTTTATCTGCTGAAACCCGCTGATCCTCAGTCTTGGTCTGCAGGTCAGTGTGAGCCGTGTCTGGGACAGGCGGGTCGGGGCCAAGGGGTTTTCTGAGTGGGTTCATAGCACATCGTATGTATGGAGAGTGTGGTGGAGGATGGGGTTCGAGGCTGCTTATTGTCCCTTGGGTACAAGGAGGGGTTGGAGTTCTGTTGGCTACTGCTGGAATGAGCTCGTGTGGGGTGGATGGCCCAGGGTCGGAACTTAGGGCTGAGCTAACAAAAATAATTATGGAAAAATGGTGACGTGCCATCTTCCACAGCTGGTTGCATCGTGGCATGAGGGCATGGAAGCCTGCACACAGCAGAGGTGGTATCAGTGGGGTTGTGAGGAGCTCCTGGCGGATTAATTTAATGTGATTTCCTCTCATAGAAGTAGGGCAGCATGTGAAGGGTTCTGGGCCACAGCTGGGTGCACAGAAGAAGCAGAAGAAATGAGGGCATCTATCATCCTTTCAGTGGTTTTCTTTCTGCAGCAGGGAATGATGTATGCTGGGGTACAGCCTGGAAGGAGGGGGCTGGGGGGATGGACGTGTCCTCAGGTGGCAGCAGCGTGCCTCAGGCTCATGGTAAGGGAGCAGACCTGCCTCATGTCGTGTCCCCTGGCCAGTGCAAGGAGGTAGCTGGAAAGTCTGAAGGGCTTCAGGAAGTGCTGTAGGTTTGTTCACCTCTGCAGCACACATCCTGATGAGAGATGTAAGGGATGTTTGTGATGCCCTTTTAATTTTCTGATATGGATCAGGAAATTGCTCTTTTCCACCTTCTTGTAATGCTGTAGTTGGAGAGAAATATGAAGCAGGGCCTGTGTTGTTTCAACTCCAGTGAGCTGAAAAAGGAAGCCAGTGATGTGGAAATTAGGTTAAACCACATAAGTAGACAGCTTTCTGTACATAGCTAATCTCTTAAGGAGAAAGCCTGGCTGCTGTATATGGCAGCACTCAAGTGAATTCCAGTCCACTGGGTAACTAAGGGACAAACCCAAGCTTCTCTGCTTTGCTTGCAAGCCATACCATGAGAGAGGAGTGGAAAAACAGAATATGGAGGGGATTGTTAAGCAGTTTTTCTCCTGTTAAATGGAGGAGCAAGTCACCTGAGCCACTAGCTGCATGTTATGTCCTAGATGAGACCAAGGGTCTCTGATGTCAACTCTTACGTTAACTCTAAGGCTTTGACTGCAGCCAAACATATGCATCACCATGCATATTGCATTTCCTGTTGCACATGGGTGCCCAGGCTTGGAATTGCATCTGCAGGCTGCACCAGGAGTGAACCACAACCTGGCAGTATATCTGTTCTGGGATATGAACAGCAGCTGTCTGTATCCAGCCGGTGATAGTTTTCAAAAAAGGAGTTCCTGATCTCTGAAGCCATTAAATGGTTCAAGTAAGTCAATCCTGTATATTGCAGGGCTGCAGGTGGTACAGGGTGAATGTCATAGTGGTCTATCTAAGTAACAGCTGCTGATCAGCACAGGTTGAGTGGAAGACTGCACTTAGTTTCACTTGATAATCACCTCCACGCACTAATTAACCCATGCTTCCTTCAGCAGGCTGTTATTAGAGAGGCACTTGGAAGAGAGCCCCTGGGACATGTCCCACTTCAGTTGACAGCAGCAGCCTGGAAGCACTGCTTAGGGCATCAGCCTGGCTTTGAAGCCCTAGTGATGGCATCTTCAGTGCCTGCACTCAGGTGCAAGAGTACATCAGGAAGACGAATATCCTACCTTGCTTTAAGCTTATATACACTGGGATTAGTGGTAAAGGAGCAAGTGGTTCAAAGCTTGTCTCGCTAAGTCTCACCGAGGGCTTTGCAGAGGCAAACTTGGCAGCGGTATTTTGTCGAGAGCTAGGTATTACTTCCTGGTCATGTGCAGTTACCCAGCAGAAATGAGGAAGGTGATTTATTGTTTTCCTGCTGGGGCATGGAAGATGAGAGCTGACCCCCTAGACTGATGCCACTAACGGCTGACATATAAATAGGGAAGAACAGCAGGAGATGAGCAGCTAGAGTGAGACTAGACATAAGGAGGAAGACAAATGGGAGAACAAACAGAATACCTGTAACCCAGAACATAACTAAGGTTACACCAGGTGCAATGGACTGTAAGAAGGGTTGGTCTCCAGGTACTGCAGAGGAGAGGAGACCATAGAATGCATCGATGTTTTACCTTCCTCTTTCTAATGTGACAGCCTCATATTTATTTCAGCTTTAATTAAAAAGGCTTACACAGTTCTTGTAGCATTACCCTTCCTCAGCAGCCACAGGTGTGAGGAATTACTTTAGGTATGCTGCAGGGGAGGAGGGAGAAACTTGTTCTAGATTTCCTGCAAAAGCCATGGCAGGAAACAAAGGCATTAAAGGTGGAGAGAGTCTGGCATGATGGGGATGTAAGGCTTGCACTGATAACTAGAGGACTTGTGTAAAACTGACCTGCCCTCCCACAGGGACCTGACTAAGGCAGTGTGCTCAGCCTGCTCTAAGGAACTGCAGCACACATGCATTTCTCTGCAAAACCATGTCCCCCTCCGTCAGTAAAAGGAGAAAGTCTGAATGTCTCAGCAGAGCACCAAAGTTCTGGTAGTAGAAAATGTTTCAAGCTCCAGCTGCTGCACAGAGGATGACCTCTGTGGAACTGGAGCAGAGCAAGTCCCACAGCATCTGAGAGGGTGGTTTGTCATTACTCTTGTCATCTGTCCCTAGCAGACAGGACACATAAGCTGCACAGGGAGAGCATGAAGACTTCTCTTGTAGCTCTCCTGTACTTTGAGTGAAAACACAGGTGCAGCTTTGTCGTTCTGACCTAGCTAAATGACAGGGCATAGAAAGGGAGCACAGGTCTCGATGCCCACAGATCAGCAGTGTTATTTTGTCCCTGTTTTTCTTCTTGTCTGGAATTTTTCTAGTGGCAGTCATCTCTTTCTCCTTTCCTTTCCCCCTGCCTGCACTTGAGAAGTTTTCACCGAGAAAAACAGACCCATTCTATGCTGCCAGGGCAAGAAATGGGCAGTCAGAAAACTAGAAACTAACCTCCCATAGAGTTATAGTGAAGGGGAACGCCAGACTTGTAGTTACAAATTCTTGTAAGTTTGAAAATAATGGAAATGCTAGGTGCTGAAAGTGGCTTAATTGCTCAAGAAACATGGAGATTGCTGGCCCAAATGGTGTAGCTGATGCTCCCAAGCAACTTGTTCTTGCGTTCTTCAGCCAAAATAAATTAGGGGCTGGGGGCGAAAGTCAGAAAATGGGTCTACTGTGCATGTGTTAGCAGATTAACTTCGTGCTTTTGGAAGGGAAACAAATGATGAACTCAGGAATAAGCAACAGTAGAAAGGAGGTCTGTGACTGAAATGCTCAAGTCATGTCCAGTGACATTGTGGTAACTGAAGTGATGAGCAGCCTGACTGCAGTAGCTGGCACTACTTTCCTCTTTTTCATCACACCTTGGCTTTAGTTTGAATCTCATCTCAACAGTACTATCCTCTCCCACTAGTAAAACAAAGGGGAGTGCAGTTCTTCATGCTACCTGCCTTGTGCTGATTGTAGCCACACTGAGAGAGGATTTCTTAATTTTTCTGTCAGCTTCTTAGGTGTGGCTCCTTTCTTCCAGGAAGGAGACTGAAAGCCAGAAACCAGCCCACATCTTAACACTCTTAGACCAACGAAGGAAGACTACAGCTGAACTATTCAATTGTGAGCTACTGCAGCACAGGTAAGTCTAGCCTGAGCTGTTTTACTTACTTCCCTATCATTGCTGGAGCCTCCCTGCTCACAGAGATGCTGACTGCAGTCAGAACTGCTGTCCCAGAGCAACTCAAGCAGAAGGGTGATAAAACAAACAGAAAGAAGGTGTGATAGCATAGGGACATATATATTTCTGACGTACAGGAGAACGGCCAGTGAGGTGAGATAGCAACTTGACCAAATGGAAAGAGAGGGATCAATCTGGAACATGACAAGGAAACGAATATGGTTAAATATGATAATGTTTCTTAAAAATCCGCAGTGTAGCTGAAGTCCCTTTTGGGCTATGGAAAAGCTGCCCAAGACAGGTCACCTATCCTGAAACACTTGGAAATATGACAGCACAAAAGTGCAAAGAGTTATGCTGTCAGTCTAGACAAGATAAATCACGGCACAAGGACCCCACAACACTCTCCCATTACATAAGTAGGCTCAAACATAGGATACCATTCAAAACCAACATCAATTTAATTCTTCCCTCTTCAGGACAGGAACAGAGCAGACAGTCCTGGAGTTACATGAGCAAGCATAAAGAGGGGTAAGGTACTAACCGAGCTAGGAAATCCCAGCTAAACATGCAGGCAGTAGAGCCACACTACTCAAGACAGCCCACATCTGGGTGGGTGGAAGAGCGTCGTCCTCCTGAGTCATGGAGGTGCTGTCCACACAGCTGTGCAGAACTGCAACCCAAAGGACAGGTCCAGGAAGGCAAAACAAAACTCTTATCTCTGTTGTTCCGTTCCTTTCCTAAGAGGCAGCAGGCTACTACAGCCC